ATTATTTGTTTTTCTTTTAAGTAAATTTAGCCTACTTTTGCTAAAAGAGAAAATATGGACTATTGATAGTGCCTTGAATAATATCGGCTTCTTTCATTCATGTTATGGGTATTTTTATACAAAGGAAATTTTTTTGTGCCCGTTGAAAATTAAAGTTTACTGACATAGCCATAAAAAAATGTTGCTTTATTTATCTGACCATATTGGAATGTATTTGTTAGGTTTTCAGTCAATTAAATTTGGTTCAATAAACAATATGTGGTCATTTTTAAAATTTTCAATGAACATTCGATCAGTCCGGCCCTCGGCTTGCAGCAAAATTTTTTATCTGGCCCTCCGTCCATTTGACTTTGACACCCCTGCTTTAGTATTATGTTATTATTCGTACACCTTTTGTATTAACGTTTGTCATTCAAAAAGTCAGTAAACATATTGAAAGGTAATGTTTTACTTATTTATAATAGTGTCGTTCTTACCTCCAAAGCGCTCCAACATGTTGTGAACTTCACTCCTACGCACAATTTGGTTCATTAGATAGTAATTCAGAGTCATGAAAAAATGACTTCCCCAAATAATCCCAAATTACATGGAGAACCCAATTTATTGAATTTGCTAACTACCCAACAGCGACTGTACTGTCTTCATCTTTCAAGTTGCGAACTGGTCTTTTCTTCAACGGAGCTATGTCTTTAATGGGAGTTTTCTCCTCCGATGCTATTTGGAAGAAGGGGGCAAAAAACAAAAAATCGTTAGCAAGAGCTAAAGCTAAGCGCACATTTAATTTACCTTCTCCAGGGTCGTCTTCTGAGCCGTAGTTGAGCGCTTTCTTCTTGGCGACTGGTGAAAAGTCAAAGACTTTACTCAAAGCTTCTTCAGAGAGTTTCTTCTTCATTCGTTTGCCAGCCGACATTTTCGTGGCGTTTGCTGAAGTCGGCGGCTAACGTTAGCGGCGGCTAATGCTATGTTAGCGCGCGGGGCTAATGGCTGGGAGAAAGGTGAAAGGAAATTGCGATAAGTAACCTTTTCTTGGTCGCTTTTGTCCCAAAGCGACGTTTAATCTCAAAGTTTGATGAAAAAAAATTTTTTTAATGTAGACTTTGGTGTGAACAAGCCAAATTTAACCAGGCCAACAGCCGACTCCCGCCAGAAGCTTTGAATGCCGCCTTTTTTGTTGATTCACCCGGAAACGACAAAGTAAAAGCTTTTCGAAGAAGAAAAAAGCAATAGTTAATGAGTATGATAGGAGAGGCCTAATATCAGAATCTTAATAATAACTTGAAACTAAAGTGTCAAAAAGAATTCTTATAGAACCCATTATCAATTTGAAAAATTTATTCCAAATTGTGTTCTCTCTAAATTTTAATATACCCTATATATTTCCTTTTGTTTTGGAATTACAATATTCCAAAACTCCCTTTTAATCTTGTTTTCACAAACAGAGCCTTCTTTCCTGGTTAATTAACTCATCTCTAAACATAATTTCCCGCCATAGCTATTATGTAACATCAAAGATATTAGAGGTAAATGCTTGTGAAATCAGTTTTTTAAACCTTTGTAAAAACTACTACTGGAAAATGGACTTCATTTTAGCATCAATTTGTGTGTGTGCGCGTCACTGGGATAATAATATCACAGACCCACACCACATAATTCATTGAGCAGATAAAAGATTAAGGTTGCAGAAATGTTGAATCAATTTTAATATGCATAATTGGTTTAAGACTGTAAAAAAATAATCAACTTCATAAATAAATCAGAAGAAAAATGTCTTCCTGAAGGGAGATGCCACCCCCCGAAACCTATAATCACAGTGTCATTAAAATGTTGACAAATAAAGTAGCAAAATGTTGGTGTTTTCGATTGACCCGAGTTGACTCGTTTGCTTGCCGCGTCGTCACGGAGGCACAAAATGGCTGCTCAGATGTCAAACTTTTCTTCACAAACAAAATGTCCGTTCTCCTCGTAGTCATCGCGGGTGACCACCATCTCCTCATAGTCTGGATCGTTCGCCAGCAGCTTCCCTCCCTCCCACGCATACGTGATGGGGCTGTTGCAAAAGAAGAGCAACACATGCGTGTCACGACACACACAGTGTTAGGGCGGGGCAATAACGTCCTTTGGTAAAATCTCAAATTGTATTAATTCAAATCCTATTTCCAATTTTGATCACATTTTCTCCCTTTCTCATGAAATTGGCATTACTCAAATCAAGTATTTCTTTCTGTTCGCTTTTACTCCCTCCTATGAGTTGCTGTATTCCTCATGACACCAAACAAGCCGTGTTAACTTGCCTCACCTTCCGTAGAAACAATCAAATTACTATGAATGTTTCTATACAGATAATGTGAACTTGAATTAAATGTGTCTGGGACAAGAGGTGCAACTCACTTGTTGGGCAACGTGACCTTGACGGGAATGTGAGCGGGAACCAGAGAGCGAAGTTCAGCCTCCAGGCGCTCTCGGAAGCCCGGAAACAAAACGTTGCCTCCGGTCAGGATGATGTTGCCGTACATGTGAGGCTGCATATCTGCGCGCGCGCACGCACACACGCGCGCACACACACACACACACACACACACACACACACACACACACACACACGCACACACGCTCTTTAAGCCAAGTCACACACTAAGAGGCTACTAGCATGTTTGTGTTGGCCTTGGAATGCGATTGGCCACGGAAAGAGCCCCATTTCCAGGATGTACTCCACAAAACGCAGCGATTGCATTCCAAGGGATTGTGCGATTATCGTCGGGGGCTGATGATCAGCACCAATATTTGTCATTTTGACGTCGATTTGCGTCAGCCTTTTTCAAACAGCCAAGAAGGGATCAACAAGTTTAACGTCGGAGAACTCTTTCTCACGACATCAGAAGATAAAGCCGAAATTGAACGAGACCTTCAGACAGGGACTGGACAGAGTCCACGATGGCCTCGGGAATGCCCATCTCCTGGATGCCGATGTCGGAAGGGTGGAAGAGCATCTCGGGAACGGCGAAGCGCTCGTTGGCCAGCCTGAGGATCTGCTCGCCTGTCTTGTACTTGCCGCTCAGCACCACCTGGTCGGCCGGCTGGCGGACAAGGCAAAACGAGAGAATGACGGCCGGCGCCGACAGCGGGGCCAGGTCGGGCAAGAGCGCGGGCTCGCCCACCTTGCAGAAGCCTTTTTTGATGGCGCTGAAATCGGGAAGAACGTAGTCTCTCATCACCGTGTTGTCGTGTCCCTTCAGCCTGGAAGCAGCAGTTCACGTTCCCCACCACGTCCGACTTTCTCGTAAGGTCAAGCAAACGTGAAGCGGACGCCGGTCAAGGTCTTACTGTGCGACGGCCATGTCCTTGTAGAAGTCCTGGGACACAAAGCACACGTCCTCCTTCACCTGGTTGATCACGTGGGTCTCGTCCATCACGTGCAGCTGCCTGCAAACATGCACGCACACTTGGCTCAACTCGTGACGACAAACTCTACTCGGTCTACTTCGTCTGGATGAGGCGGCCTTACCGATAGGAGATGATTTCTTTCAGGTGGTTAGTCAGCAGCTTCCCTCCTACGTTGATCCTAAAAGGAGGAGGACGACAGTCATCATCACCATCACCTGCCCCGCCCCCGCCGCCCCCCATAATGATCCAGCCCGACTCTGAGGTGAGAACGAGCTTGATCCCGCCTACAGCCACGGAGATGATATCATGGATGGCAGAGCCGTTGTTGCGTGCGGTCACCTGCGGATGCCGTCCTTCATTCTGCTGCCGCGACAGTAGGGGGCGATATGTGTGAAGGAGAAGCCACTGTCCACCAGGAGGCAGCACAGCTGGTAAGGTTCCGAGCGGAAGTATCCTCGAGCGCTGAGAGAACCCGCTGACCAACAAAGAGCGCACGCATGCCGCCGTCAGCATCCCGCTGGCGCGCGGCAGCCGCGTTCCACACTCACCGTTGATCCTGAGAGCCGACTGGAAGCGGTACTCCTCGAACAGGATCTCGTTCATGGACTCCTGGATGGACGTGAAGTTGAAGTAAGGCTCGCTGATGACGATGCTGCTCTCCGCAAAGTCCACCTGGAGACAGCGTCCAACATGAACGTGCGCCGCGGAAAGAAGTGCGTGACGAAGACGAACGCGAGAAAGATGGGCAACCTTGAACATTTCTTTGCCAAACAAATGATCCCAAACTTTCCTCTGGACGTCCCAGTTGACCAGGTAACCCTGAGGAGAAAAGAAGGCAAATCATTTTTTTTCTCTTCCACCATATGGCCACAACTTGGATGTATTTTGCTGTAAACATTTTCAAACACGGCCCTTTTCTGACAAGTTGCCACTTGACTTTGTATCCTGTGATGATAAGTCACTTCAGGTTGTCAAAATTTCCAAATGGATTTGCAAATCGGCGTCAATTGAAAATGATTTCTCGATCGTGAATAGAGAGATCCACGTTGCGTATGTGGAAGTGAACCCCCGCCCAAAAAAAGATTCATAATGTGGTTGAAATTGGACTTATTTGTGTTCAGGAATTTCAGATTTCTAAAACGATTTACAACAAAATGTTCAAAATGTGAACCTTCTGGAAGGGCAGGATGTAGAATAGCGCCGATGGGTCTTTGATCTCATCTAGCTGGTTGGCGGTGAACGTTTTCATCCGGGAGGTCTTGGAGCGAAACTGGCAGTTGGGAATGACACTGGAAAACAAACACGGACACAAAAGCTCACCAGTGGTTGCTTAGGCCACGCTGGCAAAATCCCTTTGCAGGGATGGCAAACGGCCGAACCGACTTCACGCTCACCACAGACAACCATGTTTTGGTCTGGCAAAATCCCTTTGCAGGGATGGCAAACGGATTCCCGACTTCACGCTCACCACAGACAACCATGTTTTGGGTTTTTTTCCCCCCTAGGCCAGCGATGATGCCAATTGCAGTCAAGAGGAAAATATTGATCATTCCTTACAATCTAGTTAAGCAATTTAAGGAGTGTTTCTTCATTCTCGGCTCTTATTTTATTGTTTTGTTCAGGCAGGTTTGGGTGCGAAATGAAAGCATACGATAACGTTTGCGATGGACTGCAGATGCACGTTAAGTAAATGTTTAAAAGTGTTTCTGAACGTCTTTGGTCGGACGCTGACTGCAGAAGGAAAAAGATTGCTGAGCTAAAGTGACGTGCTAACAGAAGCTAACCCGAAACAGCTCACCTGACTTGGTCAGAGCTATATCCAATTTTTGCCGTGTAGGCCCCGTTGTCCAACACTAGAGTGGCCATTTGCAACGCAAAGTAACGCCTTAAGGGGCCATTTCATCAAGTCAACTTTGCTCCCGGATTAGAGCGCCGCAACACAAAAGTTCCAGCGTTCATTCATATCTCGTTCGGGTTATTTCCGCTTTGTTGCGATTCTCTACACTAACTGGCCGATGCAACAGCCAATCAGAAGCGCCAAATAAAGTCCCTCACCAAAGTCGTCCGGACGGAAACACATACAAATGTCCATACACTTGAAACGCAGCATGTTGATTGCACCGCAAACAAACAAACAAGCAAAAAACAAACAAATACATAAATATCATGAATCGTGAGAGTAAAATCATCTCACAATCGAGTTCCATTTCCAAAAAGTCAATTATTAAATGGTAACAGGCAAAAGTTAAATAATAAACAGTTTCTAGTAATATTTCAAAGTGATGTATGAAACCATCAAATCATATCATCGCCTGCACGGACGAATGTAATGCTGCGTCCCAGAAAAAAAAGTGCACTCTGAATTGGGAAGTCTGAGTCGTGAAGTTGGGAAAAAAGACCCCTCGATTTCACCAACCGGTTCAATATGACGTCATGAGACAACGTGATCTCCATGGATACGCCGTCAATTTGTTTATATATATATATATATATATATATATATATATACACTATATATAGTGAGTGTGTGTGTGTTTTCCCCCCAAATATTATTTTTTTCAATGAGATCATTTTCGGGGATTCACTGTGGCTTCCACCTGAAAGACAAGTTCAATTTCCTGGACACAGGGTAAGCATCCTAGGAGTTTCATCATCTTCTTTCCAGAATTTCAGATGGAAGTGGACATGCGTGTCTGTGGAAGTTATTCCCATTTGATGGCCTCCGTGCAGACAGCGGCACGCCACATGGCACACAAATGTCGACACTTTTTTTTTAATTAACACAAGAAAAGCAGGTAAGATTTTGGTATCATTTTTATTTTTTAATGTCTGAAAAAGTCAACAATATCCATGAGGCACAATGTGAAGCCCTGCCTCACTTAGAAGTCAAATATATACAAAACGTCCGTCCATCTTCCTGCTGTCAATCATCTTCAAAGTGTTCATGTGCGACACCATTTCACAAAAACATGTCGGTGGATTATGATGGCATCATTGTGAATGTAGACAGTCGACGACATGTCGAGAAGAACGTAGCGAGCGATCCCCCGGTCACGCAAATGTAGTCAAAGTCGTCCGAGAGCGTCCCCGCTCGACATCTACATGATGCTGCCGATGTGTCTCGAGTGCGAGTGTGTGGCGAGCATGAGGGCCCTCTGGTCCATAAGGTCCCTCTCCCTTTCCAGCGCCGCCCTGTCCTGCTCCAGCAAGGCGCGTTGCCTCTCCAGCGCCGCCCGTTCCCGCTCCAGCCATTCCCGCTCCGCCCGCACCGCCGCCCACTCCCGCTCCAGCGCCGCGTGGTCCCCGCCGCCCCCCACCGGCGACCCGGGGGCAGGCTCGCCGTCCCGGTCGACGTGGCCCGGAAGGGGGGCGCCGCCGCACACCAGGCGACCCTCCATGGCGTCATTCATCAGATGGAACCATGGCCAGGAGGCGGCGCTCTCTGTCACGTTCTCCATGCCTGCGGGGGGGTACTTCAGGTCCTGGGGGGGTTGTAAGACAACGCAATGTCATCAGCACATCATTAGGAGGTGGCGTTGAAATCATGAGCATACCTTGAACCTGCGTTTGAGATTGTCCCACTTTTTGGCCACCTGGGAGGTGGACACCTTTCCCTGGAGGTCCAGCTGCTGGATGATGGACCTGACGGACAAACACAAACGAGATCGCAAATGGGATCACAACAGTCCGCACGGCCGCCGGATGGCGTGCCCCTCACGTACTGCCGGGTCGCCACCATGAATGCATGTCGGCGCGCTCAATCCGCATACGTTGGGAACACTGCGCTGACATGGCCAAATTGGAGTGTCGCTGCAAGGTTCAGTGAGTCTAGGCTTGCCCCTATCTCAACCTTTGTGGGGTCCCGAATGTGTGCGATAATCAAAATCAAAAAAAAAAAAAAGGACTTGAAAAGTTATCCCTCTTTATTATGCACTAAATTTGACACTTCAAACTATGGCTTCGGATAATTGACTTATTTCATGTGCACAAAATTACACCGGCTGACACACTATCACATTATGAGCGGCTGCTCAATCGTCTTCCCCGAGTATTTTTCACTGGATCCATTCATCAATAATTCCCGACATCTAACAACAAAAAGGGGCAGAATGCGGTGAAGCAGAAGAAGGAGAAGCGAGAGCAGCGGCGGCCCGCGACAGCCTTCTTACTTCCAAGCAGCCTTGGCAGCGTTTCTCCTGCCGGTGAACAGAACCTCGTTGGCAGCTCTCAGGGTGATCAAGCGCCGAGTGTCCTGGTCGCTCACTGCGTCAAAAACAAATTGGGATTTGGCCAACAGCTTTTGAGAAATACGCAGCACGTAACTAACTGTCTTTGTTTTTAGGTTAGTTTGACAGTCAGCTGGAGGCTGTCCCAGCTGTCTTCGGGCAGTCGGCAGGGGGACACCCTGAACCAATCGCAGGGCACACACAGACAAGCAACAGCGCTCACAATCACACCAAGGGACAATTTCGAGTGTTTTTCATTAACCTGCAATGCACATTTTTTGGAATGTGGGATGAAAGCGGAGTACCCGGAGAAAACCCACGCAGGCACGGACGGGGGAGAACATGCAAACTCCACACAGGAAGTTGGAATCGAACCCTGCACCTCCGCACTGTGAGGCCGATGCGCTAACCAGTCGTCCACCATGCCGCCCACAGTCATAATAATAAGAAGAAGAATAGTAATAGTCATACAAATATACATTTGTAGGAGAGCTCGGTAGGGGCGGCGCATTCCTCGCCGCTGGCGTCGATGTAGGTGACGTTGGCGTCCGAGAGGCAGAGGTCAGCGACCGTTTGGGTTTCGTCCACCTCGCAGGCGGCCATCTCCGCCGTCGGTGCGGTGGCCGAGCCCGAAACGGTATCGTCCTCTCCGCTCCATACCGGCGCCACCTGGGCCCCTTTGCCCGCCAGGCGACCCTCCAGGGCGTCGCTCATCAGCTGGAACCACGGCCAGGATGCCGCCCCGCCCTGGGGCTCTGCCCCACGAGGGGGGAATTTCAGATCCTGGACCAGGACCACACGCGACCTTTTATTAGGGACCGGGCGTCGGACGGAGTCCAGCAGGAAGACAAACATGAAGTCAAGTAGGGAGTGAAACAGAAAGTGGGGGTGGGAGGGGGCAGGAAGCAGGTGAAACAGAACCTCAAGCAGGAAGACAAGTGAAGTGAAATGAGAAGCGGCAAAGGAAATGAAATAAAGCGGAAGTGAAGCAGGCTACCGTAGGAGGTGAGGTCACCTTGAACTTGGTCTTGAGGTTGTCCCACTTTTTGGCCACCTGGTCGGGCGTGATCTTTCCCGTCAGGCCCATCTCCTTCACGATGCCCCTGCACAAAAGCAGCGCAGGTGAGAACGGAGGACGCTCGGGTCCGTCGCCCGCACGCTCGGCCCGGACCTCCAGGCGGGCTTGGCGCTGTTCCTGCGTCCTGTGAAGAGCGCCTCGTTGGCAGCTCGCAACTCCACCAGTTTCCGTATGTCGTCTTCTGTCACTGGCCGGCACACACGCCAATCCAACATGTCGGGAATCAGAAAGGTGTCCATAAGGACCAAACGCGAAGGCGGCCGCAGTCTTACGTTTGTAGCTTAAGTCGGACACGCTGCGCTGGAGTTCTCCCAAAGCCAAAGAAGCATTTTTGTCCCGGCCGCAGACAAGCATGTCAATCTCTGACTCGGTGAAGAACTCGGCCATCCCGGCGCGACTCCTGCGGGCTCGCTTCTTCGGCGCCGGCGTCAACATTTCGCAGTCTTCGTCCTCGGCGACGACGACGGGCTCGAGGGCGGGCGCGGTGCCAGCCAGGCGGCCCTCCATGGCGTCATTCATGTGGTGGAACCACGGCCACGAGCCCGGGTTGGACTCCACGCCGGGCGGGGGAAACTTCAGCTCCTGACAGACGAGAAAAAGGCTGCCGTCGTCGTCTGTGCTCTTACAGCCTTTTCACATAGCGTGCGATCGACGAACCCGTTTGCGGCACGTGTGCCGCGACCGAAATCTGCGTCGCGTCAGGTGGTGACGCGAAGGGTGTGTGTTCGCCGCCGGCATGCCAAATGTTCGATACGGAAGCGACGTGCCCTGGGAGAAGCCATCAGCTGACAATTGTCATTGTGTGCTAAACGGTGCCACGAAGATGCAAAGCTTGGTCTTGGCTGAGATGCTTGGCTCCTTCTTGTGACTATTTGACAAATCCAAAAAGTGCATCGCTGGACAGACCATGTGGTGTCATGATTTTTTTTTTTTTGTTTCTGGCATTTCAAAAGTGGCTCCGATGCCATGTTCAACTCATTCACCGCCGCGCACCTTTCTATTCGTCAACTGAATCCGACTTTTGAGAGCCAGCGACAAATCGATTCCTCAAGTCCCTTTTCTGAACACGAATGAGTGGAAAACCGTCTCGGCCAGCTTGTCTGTCAAATTCGGCTTTATTCCTGTAGATGGCGGCGTGGCATCGCTTTTGATGACAGAGCAGCACCGCACTTAATTTTGTGGCCCCGTTTTTGTTTTTTTTGGTTTTTGCGCATGAGCTAACGAGTGTGTGTGGGATGACCTCACCTTGTACCTCCTCTTCAGGTTGTCCCACTTCTTAGCCAGCTGCTCGGTGCTCAGCTTGCCCTGAAGGCCCAGCTCGTGAAGCACTGCCCTGCCAACACACACCACTCGTGACATCACAAGACTGTCGGCTGAAGATAAGGAGCCAGGGCCCCCCCCCCCCCCCCCCCCCCCCCCCCCCCGAGGGTGGCATGCACGAGGACCACCGGGACCAAACGCCAGCACTTCTGCCTTGTTTCCATTGAAATTCAAGTAATCCACTGTCAGCGCATCCGCGGCTCACTCCATCTGGCTTCCTCTTTTTGTCTTCCAGTTTCCTCCTTAAGATGTCATTTTAAAGCACTTTTAGCGCGGATGCACGCACATGTGCGGTCATGTGACCACCTCACCTCCACGCCGGCTTGGCCGAGTTCCTCCTGCCGGTAAAGATGGCCTCGTTGGAGGCGCGGACCTTGATGAGACGCTCCGTCTCCGCTTCTGACACTGCCGGCGCACAAAAAAAGGGCCATGATGTCGATTGCTAACACTTACATAGTGTTTAACTGCTTCCAATACAAATGTGTTTCATTAAAAAAAAAAAAAAAACTTTCAAAAATTGAGGCAAACGTGATGACATCATCGCATCTAAGGGCCAATAATCATCCGGTATGATAATTGTTCAGACTTTTGATGCATAAGGGCGTTTGTCTTCTTTTTCTTTCTTGTTTATGAGATCAATTTCAAAGAGGGTAAAACTATTTGGAAATGTTCAGTGAACTTTTTGCAAGCTGCTGCTGCACTGCCTGCGCTTTTTCTTGCGCTAAGTGAAAGATTCAAGTGGAATTGTACATGACATGTACAAGACATGCTTTACACTTGTGGTTAGAATAAGGGAAAAAATAAAGATGTCTATTAACTCTGATACTGTTATCACAACTTTGATCGCCATCGCATCACACGCGCCAACCTCACAGCGCGCATGATGACATCATCGGTCGGCCTACTTTTGTAGGAGCTCTCGCTCATCCTTCTCCAGCCCATGGGGAGACCCTCGGGAGGCTCGACGGGCTCGGCGCCAGAGCCGTCCTCGTCGGTGCTCTCTGTGGTGACCGAGTCATCCATCTCGGTCTTGATGAGGAACTCCAGGATGTCGTCGTCGTCCCGCCGCTGGCTGTTGTCGAGCGCGCTCAGCACCATGCGACTGTTGTACAGGCGACCGTGCATGGCGTCGTCCATCAGGCGGAACCACGGCCACGACTCGGCCGCGCCCCCCGCATGATCCCAGCACGCCGACTGGTAGGGTTGCTTCAGGTCCTACTCCGCGGCACACACGCACATAGAAGGAGGTCACAGCTGGCTCGCCGCTGCCAACGTCGCAGTCGTCCTCATACCTTGTATTTGGTACGCAGATTGTCCCACTTTTTGGCGATCTGCTCGGCTGTCAGTTTCCCCTGCAGGTCCAAGCCCCTCAAGATGGTGCTGGGCAAGAAAGAGCAGCTCACGGTTGACATTCGCATGCCGTGCAACGTGTTCATTCCCACGATATAGGAGTCGGAAGGTGTAGTGAGGAGAGCTCCTCACAATTCAAATAAAAGGATGGGAAAGTCCTGAGTCAGGTCCCTCGGATCTCAACGCAGCCAGTATTGTGTGTGTACCTCCAGGCTATCTTGGCGGAGTTTCTCTTTCCGTTGAAGAGAAGTTCGTTGGAGGCTCTGAACTCGATCAGCCGCCTGACGTCATCCTCACTCACTGCAGAGGTCAAAGTTGAAAGTTGAGCGGCTCGAGGAAGTAAGGCGGGCAGGAAGGAAGGTTGGCTCTTACTTTTGTACGAGCTCGCCGTCATGTTGGGGCTGCAGGAGTCCATCGTCGTCGTCCTCAAGCGGCGCCAGGCGGCCGCGTGATACCGGGTGACTTCCCCTAAGTGCGAAATGCGAAGTAGCCGCTCGGACGCGGCTCCGGTCCGCCCATCACCTGGGCTGGTGCGTCCGGACCACACAGCCGAACCTCCGCTTGGACCTCTTCCTTCCTTCCTTCCGACTAGCCTGCTAAGTTGCTAAAGCTCGGTAACGACCGGACGTCGGAGCGGACCGCTGGTGATTGACAACTCTTGTCTCCTAGTCAGTCGAAGGTCCTTCCTTCACTCACGGCAACGGAGTGGACCCCCCACCCAAAGACGGGCCGAATCGAACGGACCTGTGAGCGCCGGGAGCTCCGAGGAGCGCTCGATGAACAGCGGTGGGAGGAGGCCCTTGGTCACGTGACCGGCACTTTCGCGAAGCGGGCGGGGACAGACGGAGATCCCTCCCACACATCCCAGCATGCTTTGCGGAGCCTTTTGGAAATCGCTGCAGTGAGCAAAGCTCGACGTTGCTTTTCGTTTGCTTTTGTGTCTAGGTTGACTGATTACAAAGCAACGTTGTATACAAATAAATGTTGACCTTTTGTACCATAATCCCATTAAAGATGCTTAAAACGTGGCTCACCAGGCATTTGGGTGCATCTCAAATTTTGTGTTGCTAGTCAAAAAGACAAAAACACACCCAAAAACAGCTTAGCAGTGAACACCAAATAATTTGAGCAAATGTATTATTTCAAAAGTGCAGATCAAACTGCTAACTCCTCACGTGACTGCAGCCAAAAAGTGGCTCTCACGTTCACCTTTTTTTCCCCATCTATCTTGCAAGCCATCTTCCGTTTACTCACGGGAAAAAAATAACCACCTGCTGCGTATTGTTTGTTCACCACCCTGGTGCCAAGGAACTACATTATGTATTGGTATCGACCCGGTATCGGCAGATACTGAAAACACTTTGAATTGGACTTAGGTTCCCAAAACGTGAGATCGGGATGTCCCGAGTTTTCAAGATAGCTAATAAAATATTTGGTATTTTGGAGGACTGGAACGGACGAACTGCATTTCAATGGGGAAAATAAATTGAGATACAATCGCGGTCATGAAACCACTTCAACTCATATCTCAAGACCTTCTCATGAGCGTCCAAATACATGTGGAAGCTCAATCAACTTTGCACAAACATCAGGCCCCGCAAAAAAACGTAAACATTTTTAATCCATAGGTTCGAGGTTCATGGAGCCATGAAAAAATAAAATAGTAATAATTCCAATGCTCAAGTAACTCAATGTGCCAGTATCCCAACAAGGCTGCTCACGGTTCGAGTTTCACAAACATCAGCTGTAATTTCAGTTAGTTTTCCGATATAACGGTTGACAAAAATGTTGCCATTTTAGACACCGCTGTAACAGTACACACTAGGGAGGGATTCAAGTGCAATTTTACGAGCGTCTAGAGTTTGTCAACCAGCTTGCTAAACAAGGACACGAGTCTCTGCGTGCTCTCCAGCTGCTCGAGTCCGACGTCGATGGCCATCAAGTTCTGGCAAAACCTGGTCGACTCCACCCCTTCCTTCCCGGGCGGCTCGCCGTCTCCGCCGACCGCGCGCTGGTTCTCTGCCATTTCCTCGGCATTTGCGAGCAGTGACCCGGACCGGGCCGCCTCCTCCCGGGCCCGATCCAGAAGTGCCCGGTCCCGCTCGAGGAAAGCCCGGTCCCTATCCAGAAAGGCCCGGTCTCGATCCAGACACACTCGGTCCCGCTCCAACGCTGCCCTGTCCCGCTCCAAAACTGCCCTCTCTCGCTCCAGCGCAGCCCGCTCCCGCTCCAGCGCCGCCAGCTCCCGCTCCAGACCTTTGGAGCGTGGGCCCAGGCCCCGCCTGTCGTGTAACTGTTCATGCTCGGCGGGGCTGCCGCAGGCCGGCGCCTCTGCATCGTCGCTGTGAACGGCGTCCGCGGCGAGGCCCTCGGGCAGCAGCGTGGCGTACAGCGCGACGTCATCGGGCTGAAGCTGGCCGCCGGCGTCCGATGGCACTTCCGTCTTACCGTCACCGTTCGCCTCCGAGACGTCCGCGCTCAACACGTTCTGCGGAGCTGGAGAGTGCGTAAACAGTTAAAGGACCAGCAGCGTCAAGATGTTTCACCATCAAGTTTACTTCATATACATTTTTTTGCTCGGGACAATAAAACTGTCATACATTCATTCCCAAAAGTATTATTCCATTTCCGAGCGACACGTAAACAACTTAACGCCCCCGAAACGGAAATTGAATTTGCGGTTCTGGATGAATCCACCTATTGTCATCCTTGTCATTGTCATCCTCTCCCCGCCCCCGCTGTCGACTGAAATCGATGTCAAAGTGTCTTCAGGCTCGCACTGTCAACATCGCAGCTCACCTGTTGTCTGGCTTTTGTCATGCAGAGGTTGCTCGTGTGGACCCGAGGGATCGCTGACGTCAATTTCAGTCGTCAGCAGGGGGCGGTAGAATGTAAACAAGAATCCTCACAGTGATGAGGAGTATTTGTCTATGAGTCGACGAATTCACTCTATAAAACCCTCCACGTCATGAATGACGAATCATTCAATCATCATGTGACGAACTGTCGAGCTGAAACAAATTCTCAAACGCTCCCGAAACACAGATACAGATATGGAGAGTTTTTAGTGGACTTTGCAGACCCCTCATAAGCGAGAGATGCCCAGTACAACTTCCACGAGGCATCCGTCCGTGCGTCAGTCTCACCCGCGACAACGACCTCGCTGCACGCCTCCGCTTCTTCGTCCGAGCCGAGCGAGGCCGCGTGCGCCGCCAAGTCGCCGAAGGTGAAGTGAGGCACGGTATTGTCATCGGCGTCGTCCAGCACCGACGGCTCCAGCAGTTTGCCGCTTGCGGCCAGATGCCCGCTCGCCGCCTCGTCCATCAGCTGGAACCAGCGCCACGAGGGTCGCCCCGGCCGCTCCATCCCTGCCGGAGGGTGCTTCAGAACCTGCGCAATGGGCAAACGAGGCAGCGTCAGCGACACAAAGCAAACCATCTCTTACGTCTAGTGTCATGGCGAACGATGGGAGAACGCGAGTGACGCTTGCGCTCCACCGACCCGGTACTTCTCCTTCAGGTTGTCCCATTTCTTCTTTAACTGGCGCGCCGACACCATCCCCTCGAGGCCGAGCTCCTGCCGGATGGCCCTGAAACAAATGCCGCATTAACATTTGTCAGCAAGCATGACGACAAAACGGACAGACGGACTGACCTCCAGCCCCGCATGGCCGAGTGCCTCTGTCCCGTGAAGATGGCGCTGTTGGCGGCGCGAAGCTCGATCAGCTTCCTGATGTCTCGCTCCGTCACTAGTGTAGACACACGTGCACAAGGTGATCACATGAAGAGCTGCCTGCAATTCACCGTTACTTCCGTCATCCATTCATCTGTCAATGAATCGGACTGGGAAAAAAAAATACCTTTAGAGAAAACTAGATTATTTCAAATTGACAGCGTAGAAAATCCATAAACGTAAACTGATAACTCAGTTACCAGTTTGGTCCGCCAACAGCAATCAAACCAAAATCTCCTTTCATGGAGGACTACTGAAATCTGAGATGTAGACAATTTGAAATTAAACAAAGGCGTCAAACGATTTCGCGATGAACTGACACCGCATTTCTCCCGAGTCGATTTCTTTCAAGGTGCAGCGATTCACAGTTCTCAGTTTGTGACACACCCACTATGCATAAACCGGGACTCCACATGACACAGAGGAGGTGTGACCGATTGAATTCCGAGAATCCCTGCAAGTCGCGGAGTGTGTGTGTGTGACCCCTAACTTTGTGTACACAGAGTTGCAAAGTGGGTATACAGTTATAAAAAATAAAAAACGTACTATACTCATTTTTATTATATTAATAGTCTAGAAAAATAAGACAATCATCAAATAACGTCAATAATTTCAATCTAACACGACTGGATACCTACTTTTGCACCCCTCTGTAAAAATACAGGCGCAGACATACGATGTGTACATCATAAATGCACATACAAAGAGTACATGTTAGCAGACGCGTACAAACACGCAGACAAAGACGCGCATTATATAACACATCACAAATATACATATTTAAACATGTACAAATGATGACCACACACACGATAGACATGTATGTACGTACAAAACACACGAGTACACTTGCACACAAAAAACACAGATGACATGCACGCTAAACACGTTAATCCACATTCGTCACTGCGAAAACCAACGCCTCAGCAGCGCGTACAAAATCCATCTCGACTTTCTCGCGTGTCGTCACTTGTATGGCGGAACATGGGTCAAGAATGTCAATCAAATTCTTACTTCTGTAGGAGAACGACATGCTGGTTGTGTGTTGGGAGGCCGCCACAGAGCAGTAGTAGCAGCAGCGGGGCGTCTTCCTCGCTTGTTAATCAAGTCTGCGCCAAGCGGCGCTGCCATCTATCGGCTGAGTAAGTGAACTGCGCCAATCACCACAAACAACGTGACTACATCGACCGCAAGTCGTAACACGGATTCGTTCACACTGTGACGTGCAGCAAGGTTCATGAGGCACAGGAGTCGGTCATAAAAATCTAAATATGAACCAAAAATAAAACATTAGCCAAAATTTCAATTTCGATTTTTTTGTCTTCAAAATTTCGAATTTTGCTTCAGTTAATTCAACAATGTAATGGCAAGATAAACATTAATATCATGCCAAGTTCACGCTGTTTTTTTCCCCCAGAACTCTGCGAAAGAACTTTGCAGAAAAAGTAAAAAAACATGAGGTCTGACCTTTATATTTACTATGTTATGAACGCCTCGATGCTGAAATTACCCACATGTATGGTATCGTAACTGTACAAGTTATGACTATTTTCTTGAAGACAAACAAAGCCAATTCAAATACTGTACAAGTGAATGCCATACCTTATTGGGGAGGCAGCTCGTCCTCAACCAGCCGAAGCGCTCCCTCACGGTTGTGCATTGCTATGGCAAGTCCGCCGCAAGTCTCAATTTCAAACTCAACTTAAGTTGGGGGGTGCCGCAGATCGAGTCTCGATATGTCTTGGCCGCATCGAGTATTCCACAAAAAAGGGTTTAAAGTATTAAGAATATATGAATAAAAATATGAAAAGTTAAGATTGTCAGTCTTTATTAATGAGAGTTCAGAACATTAACTTGAAAACATTAAGTACATGACCCAGTCCTTTCACTCATTTCCCGGCTACTTTGCACAACGAACCAAAACAAGTCAGTGTTTCACAAGCTTTCCTTGGCTCACTTAAGGAAGAACCTTTTCCAGAGGAATGAGTCAAAATTGGAATGACTGCTACGCATTACGAGTATCGTGCAAACTATGGATTGAACTGTCCGTCTAATTGTAGCTGGAAAGCAAAAATGACAGTTGGACCGAAGGAGGTGTGGACACGTGCCGGAGAGCACTTCCTGCTTTCCTGTTTCAGTCGGCAAAGTCAGCCAGCACGACCTCCTTGAGGGAGGGCGAGGAGGCGGGGCGTCCGTCCTCGGCCACCGTCAGCTCTTCCTGCAGGCGGGCGACCGGCCGCCCCAGGCTGTGGCCGACCTCCACCAGGAGGCGTAACAGAGGCGCTCGGTAGCGCCGCATCCCGTAGCGCCGAACCGGGGGCAGTGCCCGTTGGGCGGTCGCCAGCGCCTCCCGGGGCCGCCCAAGGTCGCAGTGGCACACGGCCATGGCGGCCAGCGTGGGCACCGCCCTTGTGCCGCTCTGCCTGGGATGAGCAAACACAACCATGACAACACTCACAACATGAAGCAGGTCCCTGCTGCAGGCCACAACTCACATCCACACGCTCACACGGAGATAGAGCGGCCGTGTTCCTGATGCCACTTACAGGGACACGCCCCTTAAAAGACACTGGAAGCACTGGATTTCATCACCGAATTTCAATTCCTCAATCAAAGCGAAACTGTAGATTTGAGTCTGCAAAAAAATGCAAACTCAGATGGGTTTCCCCATCTTGAAGTGCTTTTCGGAAGGCCCACAGTCGAGCGATCTGTCAGTCGCCCACGTGGAAATGGGAAAACAAAACTGCTGGAACTGCATTCGTTTTTGTCGAGGGGCTGATTGTGATAACAAGAGCGCAAATGTACTTTTATTAACAAATAAATCCGGTCAGAAATAACCCTTTTTAAATCATTCACCGTCAGACATTGTGGAGCCTTTTGGCATTTGTAAGACTCACTAAATATTGTGGTCAATGGTTACATACATACCGAATCAACCAAATGAAAGAATAGAGACTCTCCTTTCACCGGGAAAAAAAAAGTTGGATTCTGCCTTTTTCCTTTCTTTTATAATGAGCAATACAAAAAAAAAGGTAGGTTGCAAAAATTCCTAAATGGTGCTGATCTCATTTCTAAAATGGGACATTGATGCCATCTACTGGTGGCTGTGCATCAGTAATGTTTAAAATTTACGCTGGAGCAGCATCGGATGCGCCGCCACCCACGCCCGTTGAAAAAAAAACGTACTTGTCAATGGCGGTGAATGTTGACGGCAGAATTTTTCCGCAGATATCTGCTTATGACAAAAGCAAATGCTCCCATTGATACCTGTCTTCAGCTGCCAGTCTCTGCTGCCTCAAATTGGCTAAATTCGCATTGAAATAATTTTCTCAGTTTTTTTCAGCCGCGAGCTTACCTCTGCCAGGGCAAAAGCTTGTCGTGGACGGCGAGGACGGCGTCGAGCTGCTCCAGGGCGTCGGCGTAGCGTCCAGCGCGGATCAAGACTCCGGCGAGGGCACGCTCCTGCTCCGTCAGGAATCGGACGAAAAGCGGCGAGTGGCCGCAAACGACGAAAGCGCAGCTCAGGTAGTCCTGCAGCTCTCTGCCCCACCCACAGAGGCGCGGGCCTGGTAGCTCCACCCCCTCCAGCTCCTCCCCAAACTCTGTCTTCAGCTGACGGTGGAAGCAGGAGAAGTGGGCGTAGCTCCGCCGCACCGTCACATGATGAGGGCTGAACGTTCCCGTCGTCAATAGCGCCACCTGAGGACGGGCAGGAGGATGTTGCCATGGAAACCAACGTACGACACGTCGCAATCTAAGCGCACTCTGTTGTACAGTCTTTCTTCACTTTTCGTGGCTATGTTCAATGATTCCGGTGATTGGTGAGTTTCCATGAAGTCGAGGTTGAATTTGGGGAGCGATTATCCGTCCTTCTAACTTCGTAAATTTAGTCAATGTAACTTTTAAAATACAAAATGAAGAATAAACACCAGTGCTGGCAGAAGTGTTTTTTTTTTGTCTCCTAGCTGAAGAACAGTCATTGAGGCAACTATCTTTCGGTTCTCAGAGGAGCCAAGAAGTTGCTCTCAGTTTCTAAAAGGTTTTAAATTTAGTCAATGTAACTTTTAAAATACAAAACGAAGAATAAACACCAGTGCTGGAAGAAGTGTTTTTTTTTTGTTTTTTTTTGTCTCCTAGCTGAAGAACAGTCATCGTAAATTTAGTCAATGTAACTTTTAAAATACAAAATGAAGAATAAACACCAGTGCTGGCAGAAGTGTTTTTTTTTTGTCTCCTAGCTGAAGAACAGTCATTGAGGCAACTATCTTTCGGTTCTCAGAGGAGCCAAGAAGTTGCTCTCAGTTTCTAAAAGGTTGGTGAGCCTTCCTTCCATTACACAGTTTGGGGTGTGACTGACCTCCACATGCGTGCAGCAGGCGTTTTCTTGGTCTTGTTGCACGTCTGACACGTGGAAGAGAAGTTTGGGATGCATCTCAGACCTTTTCATCTTTCGAAATTGCTGCTGAAGTTCCCTGGTGGTCAAACATGAATCTCCTGGCGGACGCACACACACACACACACACACACACACACACACACACACACACACACACACACACACACACACACACACACCACACACACACACACAGTGAGTGTGTGTTAAGAAAGATGCCCGTTGAGTTGCGATTGAAGAATTTAGCTGTCACCTCGGCACTGCTTCGTGGTGTCCATGTCTTGATGACTTTCTGAGAAACTGAAACATCTTCACTTCCTCTTTGCACGTGTGTGTGTGTGTGTGTGTGTGCGCGCGTGTGAGTGTGTGTGTGTGTGTGTGAGTGTGTGTGTGTGTGAGAGAGAGAGAGAGAGTGAGAGAGAGAGAGAGAGAAGCATGAAGAAGTGAAAAGAAAAGTTAGTCCGTTAGCCTTCTCGCGTTAGCTTGGGTATTAGAATGTTAACATATTAAGTAGAAACATGGCCGGCAATGCAACTGACTGAGGAACAAACAAATGAAACAATTTAAGCAACTCATTCATTAACAAATCATTGGCCAACTAACCAGTCAACCAAGGCACCAACTAATGAACAAACAACTTGTTGATAGACTAGCATGGTTTTGTTGTGTTTCTTGACAAACAAAACAGATCAGCCAACCTTCAAACAGCCAAACCTTCGGTCACTGGCCAACTCGCTCTCCCACCTGAGCCAGACCAACATGCTGGTGGTTCCCTGCTGGTAGCTGGTGACACCAACAAGACTCCAGCTGGTCACCAGCTATGACCGACTCCGAGCAACACGTTAGCCTTGCCCGGGCAGCTGTGGCTCAGTTCAGAGAGCAGCTTGCCGAGTGACCAAAAATTCGAATCTTGGCTGTTTTGTTTTGCTTTTGCCGCTGGTTTTGCTTCAGCCGAACCCTAACCCTAACGCTAACCCCCTAATCTTAACCCTAAGCCGAGCTCAGAAACATAGCTAAACCATGGGAGCACTGCCAGTCAAAGTCAAGTAAAAAATATATATATTTTTTTTCCATATCATGTGCTATGTGGCCCCACTAGTCTAAACACAGTATTCTGATTCAACTTGCGTTTGCCAAAATTGAATTGAGCAGCAAAATCCACCCACTTTCATCCACCTCGAGGGGCGGCCATCTTGCCACTCGCTGTCGTCTAAAAAATGACGTTCATCACAACACATTTTGACCTCCAACAGATATAATCGCCTTGATTCGTATCAATAAAGGAACATCTTGAAAGCTTTTTATTCATTTCACCAAATAACTTGATGCAGAGGAGGTGTCTTCAATTAGTCAGAACAAATCACACCGCATTCATAAATAAAGCGAAATATGTTTATTCACCCGTGATCAAAACCGCTTGGTATGTTTTGCCATTCACGGTCCGTTTCATGAGGTCGGGCACAGCCCGGCCAAACTCAGAAAATCGGTGTCAACGAAAGTTCAAGCAGCGTCTTCTTTCCATCTTTCAGGTTTGCGGTGGTTGTTTTTCTGAGCCGACGTTGACGAATGAAGCCAAGTGAACTGTTAGCACGGAATTAGCCTTGACCATCGAAGGCCGCCCTGCCACCCACGTGAAATACGTCCGACGATATGACACGCGTCACTTTTTCCACAACTGCGACAAACCCTCACTGACTGGCTAAGAGACAACCGAAGCGGGCGACGGAATCATTTGAATCTTTCTTGGCTAAACGTTTGTTTTGTGCGCTTTTTCAGTGCGTTGGTGAATGAATTGCTGAAAAGACTTCAGTGTTCATTTCATAAACAGACGACACGGTTTCGGTCGCATCGGCCAGCGCGCTCAATCGTCCTTTGTGTGTCTCTTTGTGTGTCTCTTTGTGTGTCCAGATGTGTGATGTGTGCGTGTGGAGGAGGACGAGGACAACGGCGCATTGTGGACGGCCGCCTGAGTGGAAGCGTCCGTGCGACTCGCGCGTTGAGTGGAATGCAGCAGAAGAAGAAGACATGTCGCCACGCGCGGATCGAATCCTGGTCCTGGTCCTGATCATCATGACGACCTCCGTGCGGCAAGGTGACTTAGTTGACACTTTTTTTTTGGGGGGGGGGGGCAAAAAAAAAAAAAGCTGAGCGAATACTTTTCGTTTGCACCACAACTCGTCTCCTCTCAACATTTCTTACTTGACAAGGAATGTACTGTCATGCCGAATGCGCGAGGGCGTCGGTACAGCGTGGTGACGCGACTGCTACGATGTGCCACAGGTAGCGCTCTCCGCTGCTACAAGTGCTCTGACTACACCGGCCGCTGTGAGAACGTCCACGAGTGCACGTACGAGGACGCCTGCCTCACGCTCAGCGTCCAAGGTCAGCCCGTGCCGTGACCTCAATCGGCAGCACTCACACTCACGGGTGTCTGTGTGTTTATCAGATAGTGTATACTGTATACAGTATGTGTGCTGTGTGTGTGTTGTGCACGGCTTTGTGAGTTTGAGGCGCGCGCGTGCATGTTTCTGACGTGTATTCGTGTTTGTGATGTGCGTGAATGCACGCAGGCGGCAAAACGGTGCGGCAGTGCATCCGCTACACGGACTGCGACAACTCGCGTCTGTCCCAGATGTTCCCGGCCATGCCGCCCTTCTCCTACCGCTGCTGCAACAACAACCTGTGCAACTCCAGCGGTGCGCTGCGCGTGGCCCCGCCCGCCCCGCTGCTGCTGCTGCTGATTGGCTGGCTGCTGAGCGCGCTGGTCTTCGGCCTGTGAGGTCACGTGACCTTGGTCTGCTTTTCATTAAAAACTAAATCAAAAGTTTGTCTTCTCTTGTCTCAAGTTGTCTAGAGTCCAATCACCTGCACACCCGCGTGTGTGTGCGCGCGTGTGTGTGTGTGTGTTTTTGTGTGTGTGTGTGTGTGTGTGTGTGTGTATGTGTGTGTGTGTGTGTACAGTCATTCCACTCACTGTGAAAATCCCCATTTTTTTCCCTCAGTCCTAAAGTCAAGGTTTTCAGTCTGGCTGGAGTTTTCCCAAAAGCGTGTTTTATTGTCTGACATTTTTAGTGACCAAAGTTACTTGTCGACAGCGGAAAAAAACCACAGAGAAAAAAAAAACATGGAAAAGGAAAATACATTTTTGCGAAAATGGGTTAACATGCTTGTTTCATGAGTAAATACTAAATGTATGACAAAACAGATGGTGGTGCACACATCATGCACTCCAATCCAACTGGGAGCAAAAAAATAAATAAAATAAAATAAATAAATACACAACAATCATTGCCATTAAAAGTACAAGTAAAAACAAGCGTTACTTAAGAAATATTTAGAAGTGACGAGGTGGAAAGATTAGCAAATAATCAACAACAATCCAAAATTAAACTGGTTTAACGATGAACATATGAAGCTAAAAGTAAAAGTACCCATCTTCTTGTCTACAGTACATGTGTGTGTGTGTGTGTGTGTGTGTATGTGCGTTTCGGTATGCGTGTTTCACTTGTGCATGCGTGTTCTTGTGTAAGATTGGGTGTGTGTGGGCGTGCCAATATCAGTGTGTGCGTGCATGTATCTGCACGTGTTTTCACACACACACACACACACACACACACACACACACACACACACACACACACACACACACACACAAATCCAAAAAGTCCACCCATGTCTCAGCGAACAACTCCTGGTGTCGGCGCCCCAAACAGAAAGCGGCTCATTCACCCGTCCGGCGGCCGATGACCTCGAGTGGCACGGGCTCCTGGCCGGAACTGGGCTCCGCCTCCTCCCGGGCGGGGTCGTACCAGGGTCGGGAGGCGGCGCCCTCGCAGGCCCGCCCCCCACGCCGGAAGCCGCCCCTCCCCGCCCGGACCAGCCCCCAGCCCTGCGGCCGCCCGTCGGCATCTGCGCCATCCTCCCGGATCCCGCGCGTCTGCTCCAGCTCTTTGGCGCTCAGCGCCGACATGCGCACGGGAAGCGTGTTGCCGAACTTGGAGTAGTCGACGCAGTAGCGGCCGTCCTCCTCGCTCACGATGGACACGAAGCGGCGGCCCCACAGAATCTCGTCGGGCGTGTACGACGTCCTGGCCTGCATGCTGATGCCCGTCGTCTCCACCACACCTGGGCGCAACACAAATGCCACTCAGCCGCAAATGTCGTTACGCTGCGCCGCGGCTTTCGATTCACTTGGTCCCTGACGCCGCTCCCGACTCGCCGTACTCGAAAATCAACTTTCAACATGGAATCAAATGCCATCGATCAGCTACCGCATGCAAAAACCAAATGATGATTATTATCGCAGAATTATTGTGATTGGTGCTATTCTCATGACTCGTAGTAGCAGCAGCAGTCGTACAGTCCCCTTCAAAAGTTTTGGAACACGGTCAATTCCTTTGCTTTTGTTGTATACTGAAGACATTTGGGTTTCAGATCATGGTATTTATACATTTAGATGTGTTCAACCAGGGGTGTCATATTTAGTTTAGTTTGGGCTTCGTTGGAGGAGGGGGCGGGGGTTTAACTGTGAACTGAAATTGCCTCAATTTCATAAACACAGCAAATCGATGACTATCATTTTGTCATCGGAGGCCACCCCCACCCCACCAAAAGAAATAATTATATATATTACATTCATTTTAAAAAAGGGACTATCATGTGCAGTTTTCACAGCTGGAAATCAAATCCAAAAGGAAGCACTCGCTTCTGTTTATCCAATGAATCTAAAAGGCGACACCTGCGCAACTACCAGCATCCATCTGTCACATGTCCCCAATAATTAGGCTCATTTGAAAAATGGGCGGCCTCAAACAAAATGCACCACACACCACGAAATCAAAGCTGGAATTCTGAACTTGTGAGCACTTTGGGGTGTACCCCACCGAACGCTCAAATCACTCGCGTCACCGTGTCGACTTTTTTTTTTCAGGGCTCTTTCCACAAAGGGGCGCTTAGTGGACCTTCCAGGATGACGATGACCTCAAGGTCAGCGGCGGCCAGCGAGTGAGCCGACAGGTCGTAGAGCGGACTTCCTCTCTCCAGCGTGTGGCTGACGATGAGCGGCGACACCAGGAAGATGCCGTTGCTCCTCAGCGGGTTCTCCACTTGGATGTCCAGCTGGCTCACCGGGATCACTTCGCCCTCCGACGTCACGGTGCGACGGATCACCTGCCACGGAACAATGTGACAAGGTTCCCCCAAAAGTGACAGCCTGTCAGAATGCCGAGTCTGGTTGCGAGGGCCACGTCAACTTGCGGCCCTCGATATCTCCCTAAGGGATGCTACGTTAGCTTCTGGACGCTAATGAGTTTTGGTGATCATGACGCTAATCAGCTGGGCACCAAATGACAAGCCCTCACCTGGAGCTGCACGGTGGCCGAGATGATCATGCTCTTGCGGAGGTCGCCCACCCTGAACATGAAGGTGGGCCGCCCGTTGCGGGGGGCCACCACGGCGTTGCGGGAGAAGATGAGCGTCTCGGCCCGCCGGTTGGCCTGCGCCGTCTTCATGAAGATGCAGCCCAGCATCACCGCGTTGATGATCAGGCCCAGGATGTTCTGCACGATCAGAACCACGATGGCCGCTGGGCACTCTTCCGTCACCATGCGCCCGCCGAAGCCGATGGTCACCTGGACGCACGACCCTTGGCGTTAACGTGCTCGTTCGCCATCGCAAAGCGACTCATAGGATACGGCGGAGAGAGTCATGGGTTTGATGGATCGCCCGAATAATTGACGGTGAACAGGTGATCAAAGTCCAAACAGAAAAAGCTGGTTACAACGATTCAGGGGGAAACGAGGAAACAACAAAAGGCTGACCGAGCTTCTCACCTCATCGCTTCAGGGCGATAGATACGATTGATTAGCGTAGCTATGCTAGGGAATATTGTGAGGATGCGAAAGCTGCTAATTGCGTGGGCGGGCAAAGCCATCAAGAAAAGGCCAAAGGTCCAACCTGGACTTCGATGGAAAAGAGGAAGGCGGATGCGAAGGAGTTGATGGCGGTAACGCAAGGAATCGTCGGCATCTCGGGCGTCTCCGCGCTGTGTTGCCGGGGCTGGAGATCCCCGTGGGCGAAGGCCAGCAACCACCAGACCATGGCGAACAACATCCACGAGCACAGGAAGGCCGAGGTGAAGATCAGGAGCGAGTGCTGCCACTTCAGGTCCACCATGGTGGTGAACACGTCCTGGAGGAAGCGACCCTGCCAAGCACCGCATGTGTCAACCGCGGCACCTGCACTCGATCATTCCAAATTAGTATTAGAAGCATTCTGATTTGATTTCATTTGTTCACACCGTTCTCGTTCTATACTACAAATAACAGATCAATGTCAGCGATGTACAGGATGGTTTTAGGCCAGGTTAGGACAGGTAGAACAATGACATGCCCTTCCACTAGAGGGCAGAAGGTACGATCAAACCTTGATCCATTAAGTGATCTGCTCATCCCCAAGTGGATTTTTTTCAGTGATGAAAATGCACCATTCTTTTATTCATAGTGTGTGAATCTTATTTGTTAAAATTGGTCAAACGCACAAATATGCCTGGTGATTTGTTGGTCAATGTTGAGCTATGTTCAGTTCGGATTGGGGATGGGCGAACTGTGTATGATGCCTGGTTCGCCCCGGGGCCTATGAGTATATAGTATATTGGAGATAAAAGCGGCCCTGGAGGTCACTCGTGTATGTTGGTAAAACGGGCAACGTTAGAGAATGCTTTTGTGTCATGAAATAACAGATCATACAAGAGTCTTTGCAGAAAGTGGTATCTCAAAGCATCACCGTATACTGAAATAAGGACCACCTCTCACGCTACCGATTTCCTCGGATGATGTGCGGGCCAGCGGGCCAGTAGCGTTGTACACTTCTACGATTGTTCCGTCGGATGACAGGCAACACCTTCTGCCATCAAGTGAAAGGCCATTGAATCGTTCTGCCGGTCACTGCACGTCGCCGGAATGGGCAGACCAACAACCGCTGACGGCGCGTGCGTGAAGAAGAGCGGCGGGTGATCTGCTGACCTGCTCCCTGATGTTCTTGTGCGCCACGTTGCAAGAGCCCGTCTTGGTGATGAAGCGCGCCCGCTGGCACCTGGAGCGCTTCCGGTTGGGATGGTTGCGCTCTTCTGCCAGCCGGGTCAATAGGAAGCCGTCTGGCACCAAGCCCTTCCTGGCCAACATGCTGGTGACACACGAACGTACCCGCACGCGCATACAAACACACTTTGCTGTATTCATCATGTTTCTGTCACATAAGACACCAATACCATTCTTAGTCCTTGCGTTTCGGTCCCTTGAATGATGCTATTAGTACTGTTATTATCATTATGAACGTTATTATATCGTGAGTTCAACTCAATGAATTGCTCCTGTGTTCAAAAGAATCATGAAAATAAAACACACAATAATGGATGGCACTTGCTGTGTTTTTCTATCAATTAGACACGAACGACAAAATAAGAGCAGTGAGCTGATCACGTTCCAATTTCGCCTTTTAAATTATTTGACGAACGTGGAAAGATGAACGTCACGGCTCATTCATTACCTGACGACCGGTCGATCAAAAAATGGAATCGTTCAAAGTGCTGTATTTGCGGTCTCCATCGTTTCGCCCTACGGATGCGCGGAGGACGACTGATGAGTGGTCAAGCGAAAATGACTAGAACACTTCCGCCGTTCTTTCAAAGTAAAACGTGAGGCGCCTCTTTTCCTCCATGTCATTTGTTTTCTATTTGCTGACTTTGAAAGGTGAAGTATGACTTCGTCGTTGCTTTTTATTGCCATAGTAGTGTAGCTATATTACCGATACTACTGGAGACAAATTTCTTGTATGTGGACCTACATCCTGGGCGAATAAAGATGATTCTATTTCTGACATGATGCCACGACTTTTTTTTTTAATCCAAAAGCCTAACGGACCGTGAACGCCCCAATCGATGGCGCCTCTCCAAGATGGACGCGCCGTTGTGTTTTTTTTTTTATGTAATGCTTTATTGAACAAACATCAGCAGTAAATACCACAGAAGTCACATCAAAATACTGCAAATTCGGGGAAAAATAATCAAGAATATGAAATAATAATCATAAATTCAGGGAAATGAAATAGACGCGCGGCTGTCGTGGGTTTTCTGATCACTCGAGAGACATGCAAGAAACATGCAAAGTGACTGACACACATCCTTTTGCAGATTGATCCATGACCGGTTACCTTTTTTTTTGTCTTTGTATTGTCAATATGCTTGGAGTAAAACCATTTCTGCATATCCAACCTCACCAAATCGCAGATAGATAGATAGATAGATAGATAGATAGATAGATAGATAGATAGATGTTCAAGTTGGAGAGGAACGATTTGAGGCGTGCGCCAACGCAGTAATGACGGCGGACCACTGGGTGGCGGTAACGCACTGCTTGAGTTTGCAAAGCGCCGTCAAACGCTACACGAAGAGAAAGCGCCGCTCCACTTCAGTCGAGCGTTGACGTTCTTTACCTTATTTTGTTTGGCTTTTTTTTTTTTGTTTATTTCTTGTCTTCGGTCGACATTCAGCCGTCGCTGACAGCAACCTAGACGATGTCAGGTGACACAGCGAAACTCTCCAAAAACCTTCTGCGCATGAAGGTACGTCACGCCGACGGCTGGCAAGCTAGCTGCTAAATCGTGACGCAATGGATCACGTCGACGCACGTGTGAACGTTTCCGTGTGTGTTTGTAGTTCATGCAGAGAGGTTTGGATGCCGAGACGAAGAAGCAGCTGCAAGAAGACGAGAAAAGGATAATCAGTGACGAGCACTGGTACCTTGACCTGCCCGAACAACGCACGCAAGAGTATGCACGCCGACAACACACTTGAATGTCGTCATCATGAGGGGCTGCGTAAAACGCCTCACGAAAAAAAAGACTTTTTGTGATTGCGATGCTGACAGGATGACAAATTTGACGTTTTACCCACAAGGAACTTGATCGTGGAGGAGAAAAGTTTTGTTCCGTTCGAGGGTCTTTTGTACGGCCGAATGTCCTTCCGAGGTTTCAACCCCGAAGTTGAGGTTTGTCAGCCGGAGGCCACGTCGGATGCGGCTCGGCAACACCGGAGTTTCCCTTTGCGCTTTTGCAGAAGCTGATGGCGCTGATGAATCCTCACGTCGGGGAACCGCAAGCGGACGCCGATGCCGGACGCATGCAGACGGATGTGACGGACGAAGAGATGGCGCTCAGGTGGGTGGGTGGCGCGCACTCGGGATGGGCGCGGCCTGCTGCCGGGCATCGCTATCGGCTTCTCTTGATTTTCAAAATGGGATCATCGAAGAAAAACGATTCCTCTGCCGAACGGCGCAGTGGATTTACAAATTCCCGACGTTGTTAAAGCACCTTGAATGCACCACGTTGCTTGCCCGGCAAGCGTGCGATGCGGGAGGTGCCCCGAGTCCGGTTCTCGAGAGCCCCTGATCCAGGCTGACTCAAATGTCTCCCTCTTCCAACACGCCTGATTCAAATGATTACGATCGTTGTCAGGCTTTTCTGATGAGCTGATCATGATTTTAATCCCAAAATAATTGTGATTTTTTTCTTGTTTATCTTATGCTATCTTACATCGGTTTGACACATGGGTTAGGGTTTCAGATTGAAAGTCCTTGAAATTTCATGTACCAAGAGTACGAGCGGTATCGTCGGTATTCTGTATCGTAGAGTGAACATTCGCATTGGTATTGTGCCGAGGAAAAAAAGTGTTATCAAATATCCTGACTGTACACGGTTTCAAACTAAAGCTGCCTTACTGGACACGATCCTTCGGGGGTCGGGAATTATGCAAGATTCACTCATTCCCGACCGAGCCCGTGATCCCCTCGGGGGCAGACCGACCGAGATGGTTCCTCGACTGGAAGCCTCTTTGGAGTGATGATGGACTCGGGAGTCGGGGTGACTGATCGTCTTGCTTTGCAGGTACGAGAGTTTAGTGGGAAGCCTGAAGAAGAAGTTCGCTCGCAAGCGAGACCGAGGCGCCTGCCAAGACGACGACCTCGACGTCAACAGTAACAAGCTGGAGCAAAACGCAAAGAAAATGTTCCTGAAGCCTTCCGACTGACACACAAATGCACTTGTGATGGGATTTTTTTAAGACTTTTTTTTTTTTTTTTAAACAAAGACTTTAGAGGTTGAACTTGGTGTTGTCAAAGTAAAAAATGCTTTGGCAAAAGACATTCGGACACTTTTATTGTTTGTTGACAGGGAGGGGAGAAGAGTTTCACAACTGCTGGCTGCAATGTGGGAGGGCGTGGCCTAACCAACAGCAGGAAGTGTTTGCCTGTTTTGGGGGAAGTTTGATTTTGATTCGAGGAAGCTGTGCGCGTGACGACACAAACGATGTGCGGAATGCGAGGTGGAAATGTCAAGCAAAGTTTTTCTTGAGGAAGTTGATGAGTCCGTTGGTGGAGGCGTCGTGAGAAGAAACTTCGGCGGCGTCGCGCAGCTCCGGTTCGATCTTCTTGGCCAGCTGTTTGCCCAGCTCCACACTAGGGAGCGCACAAACCCGGCAAACAACAAAAAGTTAAAATTACCCGCAGCTCCAATTTAGCCGCAAAAGCTAATTCAGCTCCAGATGCTAACTTGTCTGAATGTAGTTTTTGAGGTGAACTCACCCCCACTGGTCGTAGCTGTTGATGCCCCAGATGACGCCTTGGACGAAGATCTTGTGCTCGTACATGGCTGGACACACAATCAAGCCGGCATCATCATCAAGATGGCGGTCGAATAAATGCCATTGGGATCATTTCTCGCTTCCCAAAAAGCATCAAAATCAGAACGGGTGCTACGCGACAAATACTGGATTACAAAATTTAGCATAATACGGTGCCTAAAAGTGTTTTCTTGTTGGAATCCAGTGCAGCACATCTATTCGGTCGAGTCAAGAACATATCTTGACATGTTTTATGCGGCCCCCACGAGTTGAAACAAGTAAGCGGTCATTTTTATCCATCTCCAGGGGCGGCCATTTTGCCACTTGCTGTAAAATGATATCTGAGGCGCTCGACCGACCACAGCTCAGCTTGTTAACCTCACACGACCGAACTCAGAAGGGGGGTCGAAAGGCGAGATGCCGAAGGAAGTCTGACGCGAGACGGGGCGGGGCGGGGACTGACCGATGAGCGCTCCCAGCATGAAGGGCGTCAGCTTCTTGAAGACAATCGAGTTGCTTGGCTTGTTCCCCTCGAAGACCTTCAAAAGTCAAAGCAGCCACCGAAGCTCAGAAACATTCCTCGGCGAGAGCCTGCGCGAATGGGCCGGTAAGGGTTACTTTGTGAGGAAGGAGTCGGTCCAGCGCTGGTCCCGACAAGCCGGCGGCCTCCAGCTCCCGGCGAGCCTCCGCCTCGGTTTTGCCTTTCATCAGCGCTTCCGTCTGAGCCAGGAAGTTGGCGCACAGGATCTGAAAGGGACACGGCGCAAACTGATCGGCTCGCCAACACTTCACAAGTTGCCACTTTTTCTCCCCATGCGTGCGCGCCTCCCTCGCCTTCATCGCAAACATGCTCTGCTCCGTTTAATTTTCTTCCATTGAACCACACGTCAAGAGTCCCGGAACATTTGTTGGATTCATGTAGCCCATTTAGCGGAAAATTCCGCACAAATATTGGTGACCCAAAAAAAAAAAAATAAAATTGTTTCAATCGACTGTTTTGAGGATCGATGAATCATTTGAGACTTTGCGAACATCACATTGTCTAAAGCGGCCCAGTTTCATAGTCAACGGGAAACGTTCTCCAGTTTCTGTCGCTGTGCATGATTATGAAAATAAGACATTGGGCCCAAGGTGCACTTTCACTTCCCCCCCCCCCCCACAGACCCACAGAAGGAAGTCAATCATCATCATTTGATGGTGGGGCATCTTATGCGGTTTCAATTTGGAATAAGGCTAAGTTTTGGAAGAAAGGGATGCCAATTTTAAAGCACCCCCCCCCCACCCCCACCAATTGATTGATGGAAAATTGAAGAGGCAGATTACTCAGAGGTGAAAATCTTAAAATATTCTTGCAGCCTCCATTTGAAGCTTTTTCTTAAACTGCGCTGCAAATAATGATGCAACGTCTGCGTGGCGCACTGCCGCTTGCCTGCAAAAAAAGTTGCATGACCCGAAGGGGGACAAAAGCCGCCGATAAGCCGCACTGTTTGTTTTGCGTGCTCGCCCCGGCTTGAAGCGCCTGCCCGCACACCCGCCCGCACAGTGTTGTGATCTGCTCGCTGACCTTGTGGTGCAGGTTGTCCCTGATGGGATTTTGCGACTGAGCCGGGATGAGGAAGTCAGCAGGAATCATGCGGGTGCCTGCAAACCAAAACCAGATGGCAATCGTTTCCTCAATGACTTTTTGTGGCCGACGCACAAAAAGTTGCAAAAAAAGTGCGCATGCGTGTGCAACCTTGGTGTATGAGCTGGTAGAAGGCGTGCTGGCCGTTGGTTCCCGGCTCGCCCCACACGATGGGCCCGGTGTGATAGTTGACCCGGCGTCCTTCTTTAGTGATGTACTTGCCGTTGGACTCCATGTCCCCCTGCGGACACCCCCCGCCCCTTTTAGTCCCGCGTGTCCCTCCGCTCATGTGTGCGTACGGACGCGCGCTCATACCTGCTGGAAGTAGGCGGCAAAGCGGTGCATGTACTGGTCGTAGGGCAGCATGGCGTGCGTCTCGGCCGCAAAGAAGTTGATGTACCAAACGCCCAACAGCGCCAGCACCACCGGCAGGTTCCCCTCCAGGGGCGTGCTCACAAAGTGATTGTCCTGCAACACGCCGCCGTCCTTCCGTCAGCACAGCGCGGAAGCGCAGAGAGCATTCTGATCATGATTAGCATCCTCACCATCCAGTGAGCGCCGCTCAGAAGGCTCTCAAAGCCGTCGAAGCCTGAAAAACAACCGACGAGCGAGTTCAGAAGGCGTAGAAGACAAAAGGGGCAGGAGCGGCGTCTTCACGGGACGGCCGGCGTACCAATGTGCAGCGCGATGGAGAGGCCGATGGCGGACCACAGCGAGTAACGACCTCCGACCCACTGCGGATGAGATCATCACGTGAGTCAAACATCGACGCACACGCGCACACGCCAGGAGAGTCATACGTACGTCCCAGAACTCGAACATGTTTGCCGTGTCGATTCCAAATTCTTGCACTTTGACCTGAACCGTCCCGCCCCCAAAAAAAAAAAATTAAATAAAAATTGATTGGTTGTCAGAGAAGCACCAAGTGGTGACGTCGTCAAAAACTTACCGCGTTGGTGGAGAGAGCCACAAAGTGCTTGGCAACGGCGGTTTTCTGGAAAACAACAATGGAAATATCAAACGGACTCGATGAAATCTTAAAATTGAGAAAAGAAGGGGGAAAACGTCTTAAGAGGGGCCTTCAAACACTCTACTGCCCGAATGGGGGGGACGACAAAAACAAAATCGCACAACCAAGGTATTGTGATGCCCACCAAGGCCACACGGGGGCAGTATAATACAGCTAACAACGAACATCCCCCAAACTGCGCGACTGCGTGCGTGTGCCTACGTCATTGGAGGCGCGAAGGAACCAGTCCCTGGCAGACTCGGCGTTGGTGATGGTCTCCTGCGTGGTGAACGTCTGCACGCAAAAATGGTCATCATCGTCATCATCATCATCATCACCACAAACAGCCCAGTAAAAGTGGGCCCAAAGTCGGCGGCGAGACCTTGGAAGCGACGATGAAGAGGGTGGTCTCCGGGTCAAGCTGAGCCAGCGTTTTGGCCAGGTGAGTCCCGTCAATGTTGGAAACAAACCAAACGTTGGGACCGCCCGCCGAGTAGCTCTTCAACGCCTCCGTCACCATCAGCGGACCCTGAAAGCAGCGCTTCACACTTACTGCAAACCTTCGCAATCAAATACCATCTTTCCACCCAACAACAGGAAACTTCAAATGTCCATTTTCAAAATAAAACCGCAAAACAGCCAAAATCAGAAGGGGAAACTTTCAAAATAAAGCACCCAATCACAAAACTGATTCCACAACAGGAAACGAGAACATCCAATCACACGAGAAACTTTCACAATAAAGCGTCCTATGTGAGGTGACCTTCAAAATAAAAAACAACCAAATGTGAGTTGTGTGACAACCCGAGCGGAGCATCACAAGGACTTCCGCATCCTGCATTTTTGCCTTCTCTTCTTATTTGAGCTGAACACGAGGTCACGTGGGCAGGAAGCGAGCAACTCACCAGGTCCGATCCCCCGATGCCGATGTTCACCACGTCCGTGATGCTCTTGCCCGTGAAGCCCTTCCACTCGCCGCTGCGCACTTTCTGTCCACAACGCAAGACGCGCAGGTCAACATCGTCCGCGTGGCACACTGGCAGCAACGCGAGCGCACCTGCGAGAAGACTTTCATCTTGTCCAGCACGCGGTTGACTTCAGGCATGACGTCTTTGCCATCCAACAGAATGGGTACGTTGGAGCGATTGCGCAGGGCCACGTGCAGCACGGCGCGACCCTAAACGTGCATGCACACACACACACACACACACACACACACACACACACACACACACACACACACACACACACACACACACAGGAAATGAGCGCCATCAGGAGGAGCGTGCATGTGAAGGCCGAGCAAGTGAGCGATCAAGCGCACCTCAGTGAAGTTGATCTTGTCACCTTTGAACATGCTCTTCCGGGCCTGCTCGACTCCTCGGGACTCCGCCTGTCCCAAGTGGAGGGTCACATGACAGGGCAAAGTCAGGTCAATAGAACACGGCTCTTTGGAGACACGAGTCTACAGTAGCGCTAAGCTAGCAGGGGCAAAGGTGTCGACGGGTTGGGTGTGTGTGGAGGGCAAGAAAAGCAAAGGGATGCCAGCAGGGATGACAATTACGACTGTGATGTTTCACAACGAAAACAAAAACGCGCTTGAGCGTTTGATGTTCTGCATTGAAACCACACGAAAAAAAAAAAAAAAAAAACCTTGTTAAAACCGGCGATGAAACCTTCCGACTTCATTCCAATGTCTACACTTTTCCTTTGATGCGGTGCTTCCCAATTATTTTGCTACATTTTTTTGGTCCATCACAGAAAAGATTTCCTGAAATAAAATTGAGTGCCACTGCCACCTATTGCAGAGGATGTGCAATTACACTTTTTTTCTTGTGTGGCCAGATTACAAAAAAGAAAAAGAAAAAAACCTGCTCCTCAGATCACATTCGCTCCCCGAGAGGGGCCCATCGCACTATTTGGGAAGGACTGATTTGATGGGAATTCGGCCCCAGCCCGCATGCCCGCCGCGTCATGACACGGCTCGGCCAGCCGCTGTGTTCCCCTTCGACTTAATCACCAAACGCAGAGCAAAAATTCCCAACATGGGACGAGTCCGAGCCTCAACGTGACTCCATTTCCACCCCCGTTCCTGTCAACAAATGTTTCAATGTTTGACTTGATTTGGCCAGCGAGAGGCCAAAGTAGGATTGCGAAGTGCATCCAACCCGGCAGCCTTGTGCAAACCTTTCACCATTTTCCTCCTCCCACCAAACAATGTTGTCGCTCAGCTCATATGTTGCAACACTAAATCTTCTCCACTCATCTAATCTCAGACACACGAGCGGGAAGTCAGGCCCCGGCCGTGAAGTTATTGTGCCGACACCTTCACCTGCTGGCTTGCAACATTCCCACGCCGCCTCGGGCCCTTTCGCAATAAGCCCTGCCAACTTCCTGTTTCGACAAGAACGGCACAGTAGAAAAGGCAACGCACCAGCGAGCGATGGAAAACGACATCTCAATACTACAAAGTCTGCGTGTGCATACTAGGCGGGTGCAATATGGCTCACTTTTAATCTCTCGATATTTTTGCCAGTTGCTTAATGCTACATGAACAATGAAAAGAAACATGGCTCCCACCTGACAGTTTGCAATCGTATGTGCAAAAAAAAAAAAAAAAGATTCAAAAAAGCGGCCATTATTTTGCAAATTTGACACCGTTAAGTGAAAAAAAAACTTTTCAGGGTAAGAGATGACTGCACATGCAATAAAATCATAATTTCGCTGCAATGGTTGCCGACGGACACCATCTCGAGTCGATCCCAGGCTTCTGGTGATTATGCGGACCTGGACCCCATCCCAGCCGAGAGGCGGGCGACACCTTCGGAACCGTTTGGGGGGGGGGGGCAATTGCAGAGCATGTAATAAACAAACAAGGGATCCTTTCTTGCATTTGGATGAAGCCAAAGTGTTGTCACAATGGAGGGGGGGAGCCATGCGAAATCATCCAAGCAAAACTTGGAGCTGATTAGAGGAGGGGAGTGGTTACCAGGGTGAGGAGCATGGACATGACTTCCTGGGTGATGAGATTCTTGGAGTAGTCAAGCAGGAGGTCGCCCTCGGGCGTTTCCGCCTCCACACTGACAGACACACACACACACAGAGAAAATCATCGATTAGATTCGGGATTTATGAAGGTTCCCCTCAAGCAATTGATGAAGTGAGCTGGCACGTCAATCTATGACGTCACGCTGCCTCTATCCAAGCATGGGGAGGGGGAGGTCGCAGGGTGCACGTGCGGCGGGGCACGTTTCACCACTCGTGACGTCATCGACGCAGACTGTTTTTGAAAAGAAAAAAAAACCAAAACGCTGGATTCTGAATGATGATGATTATTTTTCATGTGTGAGATACAAAGTGCCCGAGAGTGAAACCCGTAGGCTACCTTTCGCCCGAGCAGCTTGCATGAGCTCCTCGTCCTCATTAAGCCGCCAAAAGGTTTAAAAGCTCACCGTGCCGCGTCACATTTTCAGGTTATGACAAACACGTCGACAGGAGAGGAAATTAACTTTTGAAAAAAATACGAATTAATGTCGATTGAACGACGGGAGGGGGCGATGACCTTGTGGCGCACGACGAGACGTGACAAACAAGCGGATGTCCCTCCGGCGAGCGAGCGTGCACCTTTGGGCACGTTCCCCATTCGGGTCGAAGTCACCCACCTGAAGCGACTGAAGCGGTCGGGCTCGGCGGCGAACATGTCCCTCATCTTCATACTTCCGCCATGGGCCCGATGCCACTGCTCCAGCCGCCGATAGTTGGGATCTTCAGTGAGGAGGGACATTATGGACGACGCGACAAGGACAATACGAAGAAGACGAACGCGGAGACCACTCGCCGCTTGGTTTTTGCTCCAATTGTTCGGCTTGGTGCAGACGCAGAGACAAACCAAAGACGCCAAGTGACCAGCGAGGACTCAGTCGAATGACAGCCGCCCCCTCGCGTTCTCGCCAATGAGCAGCAGAGGATCACTCCCCCCACACCCGCCCGCCCTCTCATGTTGACCAATGAGCAGCGGTAACCCCGCCCACAGCTCGCGTCCTGACCAATAAACGGTGGAGAAGATGGGCGTTCACAAAAAGTTGCCCTCACCGCTGCGTCTACAGGTGGAGGCAATATCGAGGAAACGTCACTTTATTTCTGTAATTTATTCTTAAAAAAAGGAAACTTGTATGTTACATTAGCTCACCACACATAAATCGATATATTTCAAGGATTAATTTGGTTCAATTTTGATGATTATTAGAGTAAGACAGAAAAAAATGTATTAAATAGTATTTCATAAAATGTGAAAACTTTTCGTTTGTTCTGAACTAATATAAGAGTCGCTTTTCTTCATAGACTATGTTCAGTGCTGGATGTCACTCACCATTTGGCAAAGGCCACTGGCGTTCAAAGTCCGGTCTGTCCAATTAACATCACGGCCGACATCATATGATTTCAAGAAACCTTTCGAGAAAAAATGAGGCTCTTCTGTTGCCGGTCCCCCTCTTTGGAATGACCTCCGACAACTATAAACATCAGACAAGCCCCCTGCTTCCCATCTTTAAAACTCGTCTTAAAACTCATTTTTATCCTTTGGCTTTCGACTCAACATGAGACTTGATTTTACTGGGTTTTCTTGGTGCCTTCTACTGTCTTTGTCATTATTTTATTGTTTTTATCGTTATTTTTGCTCCATGTACAACACTTTGCATACAGCGGTGGTTATTTTGAAGTGCTGTGGAAATATAATTGAGTTATAGAAATCCAAAGAAAAGGTCAATTTTTGGTTGCAAAGGAAAAGAAAATGCAAATCTGATGAAATTCCTATCAGATGACCATTTTGGCGGTCAAAACACCTGCTATGTACAGTACTGTATTGCCCCACTCAATATCTGACACTAGGTGGTGCTATTTCACGCGCGCTTCATGTCCAGTCGGATCGTCCATCTGGCGTTCATGACGATGACACCCAATTCAGGGCCTCTTTGGCACATGCTCCGATGGCGTGACTTGAGCTAGAGTGCTGCAACGTGAAATTTGCCAAGGCTGTGCCTCTCCTATCCTTGGCACAATTACTTTAGATCAGTTGAAACCGGTTCAGCCAAGCTTGCCCCACGTACTGTATATGGCTATGCCTTGAGAAGTCACGAACTCGCTCGATTGCTGTAATGTGGAGGTGTGTCTCGCTGAGATTAAACAAATGATGTGTGCAACCAGGGCGGATGTAAGGACCAGATCGACTCGATGTCCTGCCCCTGCTGATGACGTCAATTGGATGAAAGCGTCCTTCTGCTCGGCCCGTTATACCAAAATGGGATCGTTGTTCGGGGGAACAGGCTTCGGCACGCACCAGCGACCCTTGTGAGAAGCGAATCAGAGAATGTAATGGTCACCCCCCCCCCACCTTTAGGTTTTGGCGCCCCCTGTTGATTTGGAGAAGCAAAAAGAAGTATGCAGGTTCTCCAGCGCGGAAATCACAGCTGCTTCCTCATTAAGTTATAAGAAACAAATCGACTTTGATCGACGCTTCATTAACGTTCTTTATTTCTTTTTTTAACAGCATTAGGTTTTGCTGGTAGACAAGTTTGCATTTATCATATATGAACGTCACACCTCATGTGAATTGATGACTGGTCGGCAGGGAGGAGGAACTCATCTGCACATCAATGAGTTTAACGGTACGAATCGGTGAGGCTCGGTTACCATAGCAACGTGCCAATAACCAGTAGTACTGTCTTACGTCGTATCTTCATCCTTATCTTTTTGAGGGGGTGATTTCCCATCGACAAAATGTTCAAGTTCAAGTCAACTTCATTGTCAAATGTGCTCTATGTGCAACATGCAGCACAGATTAAATTTCTTTCCTCTCAACCACAGAAATGTGGTGGAAAACAAATGATTGACGATGCAATGAGTTTGCAACACGTTTAACATTCGTCAACACTTGATCACTCAGACGAACTTTCCCCGCCTTATAATGTTCCACTCAAATGATTTACGACTAATTGCACGTCTTTGTTCCGCCATCTATGCCAGTGACATTTCGTGACTTGCAGAACAATAAATGTTTTTCCACTAGATGGCAGAAGATACGATGAAACTGTGTGACTGCTTTTCACAAGGCGCACGTCCATTCGGGAATGAATGAAGACCAGATCATGTCGATCCACTCAAGACTTTTCGTTCGATGGCATGGTGAGATTTTTCTCATGTAGAAAAAAAAACCCCACTCTTCCCACAAGGTTTATGTGCAAGTTCAGGATGAACCTTAAACGCACTGAAACCATGACAGGTTTTTAAGCAAACACTTCAGCAACATGACGGGTGCTTTGTTAGCTTCAGACACTCTGAAGTGCAAATTGGGTTTGTTTTCAGGTAAAGTGTTTGCCGGGCGCTCGGAGGAGAAACAAGTGAGATGTGATTAGGATGAAGTTGACGATGTAGCAGAGGAAGAGCGACCTGGGAGGGGGGCTGTCAACTATGTGACGTTGAGTCGAACAGACAGCTGCATCAGACCAAGCCAGGCCCTCCAACACACCCAAGAAAAGGCGAGGGTTTGTTTTTTTTTTTTCCGAGGAAACTGCAGCAGTCAAGCAGTGCTGGTGACAAAAACATCTTCACCTTGTTGGTGGTCAACGCTCCGCAGGCATCTTCTTGTCCTTCTGAAAGCAAACACAGGCAGTCGTCTATCAGTTCATGACATTGGCATCGTCGCACAACACGATTGACTGCAGCGGTGCGTTGAAATACGAGAGACTGGGCCTTCGCGTTTTTCTTTGGGCTCATTTTGTTTCCTCTGAACTTACAAGCGCTGTGTGGAGGCAGTAAAGTCACCTGACTGATCGCCAAGCAGACGTTTTGGGAAATAGCGATTCCTCACCAATTCATCCAAAAAGAGGCTTCAGGCGGGTTTACTGCCACTCTCAGCGGAAGCTCAAACCAAGGCAATCAATGACTTTGTGTATTTCAAACAAGCACAGGGCTTCGCGTTTAATTCTGCTCGCTTCTACAATGTGGCGCTCTAAGCCTATAAGCGACGGATTTAACAACACTGCACCTCAAACAAAACAATATTCGCAAGCATATATTCTTGATCCTCTGCGAAGAGCGGCCGATCGTGTCATATCGGTGAGATACGGTCAGTTAAGACATCTCAATCAACAGACCGGAAAGAGCAACACAAAGGCCATTCAACTGATGCCTTGGGACAAAAACTATTTCATTCATTTTTTTTTATGTCATTATTACGGCATGTTTTTAAAAAGGACAATTTGAGGGGGGGTGCATTTTCCTCACATGCTGCCAGATGGGCCCTGGCAAGTTGCCATTTCCTATGGTTCACCTTTGTTTGTGTTCATCCACTTCTGCTCGGCGAACAAGGCAGTGAAATTTTGTACTGCCATTTTAAGATCTGAACGATTCCAGGAGAAGTGGAATCCTAGTCCAGGTTCCACTCAATTCTCAACGCCCTAAACTAATCTCATGGCAACGCTGCGTGACATCACAATGCTGTCATCACGTCACGTCACATTTGCGCAAAAAGTGTTGCGTCACCCTGTAAGCTGCGGCAATGTCTCCAAACTCCCGGCCGGCCTGGTTTCCTCGGTATCCTCCCCTGAGAGTGCCCCTTTGAGACGGGGCCGAGGAGCCTCGGCCGGCGGGCCGCCCTCTCCCCCGGTAACCTCGATGGTGACGCAGCGGTAAGCCAAACGTCTCGGCGTTCATCCGTCTCTCCTCCGCCCACGTCTGACGGCGTTCCCTGCGGGCGGGATGGAGAATCGGTGACGGAGCGATTTTAGAGGGACAACAGCAAAAGATTCTGGCGGAGTCTCACAGTAAAAAGCAGGAAAAATAATCATTTTAAAAATAATAATAATGAAGGAGAACATGGAGGAATTTGATCAGGTCCCATTTCTGATGATTTGTGGTTATGAAGACACAGCGCAGCGATGGAAGGAGACCTCCACAGTTCTCAGCGTTGAAAGTGGTCGAAAGGTGCACCTTTTGTCGTTGAACTGGTGACAAATACAAACTGGCCAGCTACGGCATACTTGACGTCTGAACTACGGGCAAAGGCACCGGGCTACTTCCTGTTTGGTTGCTTAGCAACCAGTACTTCCGACAGACAGGGCTTGAGCCATGCCGCGAGTATGATCTCTGTGCCGTCCCGCAACCTACCCCGTGAAAACCCAGCGCAGTGTGTGTCAGTGCGGGAGTTCCGTGACTACCTCGGAAAGACGCCGCCGCAACCGTTGTTGTCTCTTCTGTTGGAAGAAGAACACACATGGGGGGGGCAAAGGAGGGATGGGCGAGAAGATAGAAGATTAACTATTTCATATTGGTCCATTTTTGTCCTATTGAAAACAAGGACATGAAGAAAAAGGCAGCCTTCCAGTCATTTCACTTTCACCTGTCATACTTTACTGACCTTGCAGAGGTCAAAGCAGCTATGAAAAGGTCAAATAAGCTAGCCAATGTAAAGATGAAATAAATGCCTTTTGAAACAAAATGTGCCTCGTTGGGCTGGGGGAGTTGGCTGAAAAACACGGCTAGAAATAGTAACTCCCGTGACATATAATCAACAGGTGGTCCGTGATTGCATTTGAAATGACCAAGGTGCTGCTTGCGGGCACGCGTGTCAGGTCACCTGCTGTCGTCACAGGAGATGTTGTCAAAGAAGGACTTGGACTTGTCATAGTAGCACTTTGGTCCCGGCGCATCTCCTCCCCGGTGGTGCGCGTCACTCACGCTGTCGAGATGGTCGCCTTTCTCCTCGCCGTTGAGCGCCGGCTCGCTCTTCTCGTCTGAGTGCGGCATGAAAAAAGGCTGATATGAAAATCCCGAAAATGTCTTGTACTGGGTCTAAAAGGTAAGCCTGAACAGGCTTTCTTTGCGCACCCTGTTAGCTCATTTTTGCTGTTGATTCTTTTGGCATCGTGCACCGAGAAAGACTGCTGTCGCGTGAGCGCATGTGAGGGAGCGAGCGCGCACCTTTCAGCTTCATCTTGCTCTGAAACTCTCGCTCAATGTCGTCTTTGTTGAATTGCGCGTTGGCGCTCTCAAAGTCAAAGTCCTTGTCGAACTTCACGCTGGCGCCGTCTCGCCGCACGATGAAGCGCCCTCTGCCGCGGTGGCCACCCCCTCGGCCTCGCCGGCCGTTGTGCGCTGGGGAAAGAGAGAAAAACAGTTGGCGGGGCACAAATGAGGGCGGGTGAAGGCGCACATGCGCTCTTCTCACCCCTCCTGGCATCCGCGGTGTCCTGATGATGCCGAATCTGGCCGCTCGCCCGCGAACCAGGAGCCGCGCGAGGTTGGCGGGGATTCGGGCGGTCCCCCGGGTTGGTGCCGGGATTGGCCGTGGAGTCGCTCGGAGCCGAGGAGGACGCTCGGACGGCCGGCTGCTCGCCACCCGCGGGGCTCTTCCTCAACACGTCCGCAGGAGAGCTGCGGCTACCTGCAGGACAGCCGCACACTCACAGGCCGGATTGGAAATCGCTCCCGGATTGGCGACCAGTCCTGGGTGTAATTCGCCTTTTGACCTAAGTCACCTGGGATCGGCTCCAGCATAACACGACCCTTCACAGAACGGAGGGGTGTATGAACATTATTTCAAAAAGATATGCATGTGAGGTGGACGTTCTTAATTTTGTCCACTCGGGGTCGCCATCCTTACATTCTAAACTGTCGTATTTGTGACGTTGAACACGTGCACCTTGGGGGTAGGGCTGATGTATTGAGTGACAAAGTCCGCATCCCCTGCGATCAACTAGGGTTCTCTCGTCTTTTTGTAGAGCGACTCCAACTACCAGACATAAGCTTCTTCGTCAAGACGATTCTGATTGGAAGTGGAACTTGTACGTGATGTCATGAGGGGGGAAGCGAAGCGCTTACCGCCAACAGCGGGTCCCAAGCGCGGGGGGAGCTGAGAAGTGCGAGCGAACTGGCTGTAGGAGGCGGCAGGGGTCCGGTTGAACAGCCCGTAGGAAGGAGCCGGCTGGAAGGAATTTGGGAGCGACGTGGCGGCCGACGCAGCCGACGACAACGAAGCGGAGCTCACGGATGACTGAGGAGGAGACCAATAAGAGCACAGAGATACTTCAGACTTCATTCCGGCCGGCAAGGAACTTCAACTCACTGCAGCAATATTCAAACATAAACGCTCAAACTGAAAAGAATCCTGCGACCGCTCGCTGAGCAAGACGCACCTGCACGATGGCGGGGTCCTGGGGGAGGGACCCGCTGGGCCTGGGGGGCTCGCACACCGTCAGGTCTTTAATGTCGCTGCCTCGGAAAATGATGTACTCAAAGGTGTCATCTCGGGGCGGGACGGGGCGCTCGGTGGGCCGATCCTCGGTTCCGAACGAACGCACTGGAGACACGCGGCTTTCCGTTAGCGTCCCTTCGCGTGACCACCTCCGGCACCGCTAACTTGCGTCTCCGTTCAACATGTTCAGCACAGAGGCAAATGACCTCAATCCACCTCAAACATCAGTGGGGGCCGTGGCGTCAGAGCTCTCTGCTGAAGATCATCGCTGCTGCTGATAACCTCCGCCGCTACTTATCTTAAATCGACAGTCTCAAATTTCGGCCTTAAACTGGACAGTGATTTGAAACTGGACCGGCGGCGTTTTAAAGTGCTCTATCAATACAGTTGAATTGAGTTGCTTTTGAAAGACCCTTTTTGAGGGGGCAGGCCACTTTGAATTGTAATTACACCTTTTGGACAATACCTGCAGTCTTTTGGTGATGAAAAAAAAAATCATTCATTTGAGAAAATTACGTTTTCCAAAGTGACTCCAACAACTGGACACTTTGACGCCCATCCAAAACTATTGGAACGTCCAGATCACTTGCTTTGTTTGAATTGGATACTGGGGACATTCGGCTTTCAAATCAAGCGAGGAACAAAGTGGAGAATTCCAGCATTTATTTCCTGGTATTGACATCGAGGCGTGTTCAACAACTCGGGACAGAACAAATGTTGTTTGAAGCCAGGCACTTTTCAAGTGAGTAAAAGTATCAGATCAGAGATGATTATAATACATTAAGGGCAATAACAAATAATTGAATATTTGGTGGCATAACCCTTACTTACCAGACGGTTGCATTCTTCATGGGAAATGCCGTTCCTGGCCTTTACTGCCGCCTCTCTCATTTGGATGCATTTTTCTGTCAATTCCAAGACAAAATGATTTTGCAGTCTTCAGAATTCCGTTGCTACCATGCCGAGTTACATCATCAATAGAGTAGTGAGCCCATTCCAGAAGCAGCCATGCAAGTCCAAGCTATGGCACGACCTCCACCGGGGGCTTCGCGGATGAGCTTGTATGTTTTGGATCATCAGTGGGTCCTTTCTTTCGTCATACTTTGGTAGAGGTTCATCTCGGTCTCATCAGTCCATACAACTCAGGTGGCTCATCTCTGTACTTGTTTGCAAAATCCAATCTGGCCTTGCCATTCTTTTTGCTGTGGCGTCGTTGACATCTCTTGATATATTTCTTCTCTCTGAGTCTTCGGAGAACAGTGGCATCTGATACCTTACCCATGCCCTTTGGAGGTTGACAGCCGTGTCATCGACTGATGTCTTTGTGTTTTTCTTCAAGGCTCTCACAATATTTCTGTCATCGGCTGTTGTTGATACCGCTGGCAGACCTTGTTTGATGTCTGTTGCTCAGTACACAAGTAGGTTTTTTTTTTCTTTTAATGGACATTCCAAATTGTTGTGTTTGCAATGAACAATGTTTGTGCAATGGGTACGATCAATTTTCCCTCTTCTCTCAGCTGCAAAATGGTTTGCTTTTTTCTCTCATAGACAGCTCTCTGATCTTCATGATCGCTGAGCAGCAAATCAAGTTTTCGCAGGTGAAACCCATAGAAAAAAACAAGCACAATGCGATGTTTCAGAAATCCATCTAAAAGACAACAACTGAGCAACAAGAAACACCCATCGCTCACCTGTTCCATTACTTTTGCTCACTTGAAAACATCTCGATGTAAACAGCATGAAATAAAAGCTGCACTTCTGAACGTTTGTCTCATATTCATTTTTTAATCTGAAAGCAAAATGTCCTTAGTACACATTACAACAAAAACCATGGGACTTAATTTGCCACTCCAATACTTTTTCTTTTTGTCCTTGAGGACTGGAGCTCCCTGTCAGTGACTTGAAATGGAGGGAATTGATTTGTTTTGTTTAGTCGAATCCAGAAGTCAAACTTGTAAAATCTGAAATTTATCACGTGAAAAGAGAAATATTTTCACGTTGAAAGGTGAAACATATCACGTTTGGGATGTGATACTAAGCTTTTATTTTCTGGTGTGGCAGCAAAACGCTTCCAGAGGAATGTAAGCGTAACTGCGACGAAATCAAGTTTGACAGCCGGCGACTAGTTCCAGAATTAGCCCCCTAGCGCGCTAATGCTAAGGGATACCTTTGGCTAAAGCCACGGTGGAGTTCTCCGTGTCGATGGTGTACAAGACGCCCTCGTAGCGGATCTCGGCCTTGGAGATGAGGCTGATTTTGCTGCCGAGGTAGGGCGTACCGCCGCTCATGTTGTCCTCCTAAGGTCTAAACGATTTCGTGACGACGAGCTTGTTAGCGTCGACAGCGACGTCAATTTCGCGGCGCTACATGCTAACGTGCTAACGTGCTACCAACAGGGCTGCTATCCATCGTCATCCTCATCCGCCATTGACAGCCCGCGGCCGCTAAGGATGATGGGAAACCGTTGCACAGCGCGGGCAGCTAGATGTAGATTAGCAAGAACGGCGACCGGAGTGCGATTTGTCAACGTGGAAAGAAACAAAAATGTTGCTCGTTATGTCACGACGCCGCCGCGGTAATTCATGATAATAGCAAGACAACAATCAAAGGTCTTTGGGCGTCAATCCACGTCAGTTGACGGCGCAAAAATAAGTTGCAGAAGTCACCTCGGAGAGAGTAAAAGCCGCGGCTCGGGGATGTCATCACTCTTCATTTCCACGAATGCGTTTTAATCAATTCCATATTTCTAAAAAATATATATTTTGAAATAAAGCGAAATCAGACACGTTAATACACTAAAATAGATCCAAAATCATCCCTGAAAAAGTAACCAGTCGTGTTCAGTGCTCCTTTTTTTTTTAATGATATTACCACAAGCTCATTTGACTGACGGTCCTTTGTGTTTTATAAAAATAAGACATTGATATAAAAATGTATTGTATTTGCAAACATTTGCTTTTATTTTGGAAAACTACTAAGGGTTGATGAGAACATCACCCCCTCATGTGATCTTGCCTTATTGTTGTTGTTGTTGTTGTTTAAAATCACTGAACAATACCAAATACAGTAGTCCAAAACAATTGGTTAATATACAGTGATCGGGGTCTTTCTAATTCACTTAAATTCAAAATATTTTTTTATATCAGATTATCCGATTAATTGATGGGATAACAGTCAGAATAATCAATTCAAAAATATCGTGCCAGCTATCTACATCATACATAGGTATTATATTTTTGAATTCAAGACGTCCATGTGTGTTCAACCCTGCAATCTATGTGCAACCCTGAAGTATTCTGCCAATATTCCAAAGTGATAATAAATTCTGGAAAGATGTATAAATATAAGCGACATTGACTGTGGTTTCAGTCTTCATCGAAACATGATTGCAACACAACTAAACAAGACTTTCTTCTACATTTTATAATTACGCATGTGAAATTTGACATCCACAAATTCGGTCGTAGTAATTAAAAGCTGATTTTTTTTAGAATGATATCAGACAATACACAAACACCATACTCAACTCTAAAAACAACAAAAAAGACCTAAAGTTAGTCGAAAGTTCGTGTTTAATTCATTGTCTGTCTGATTTGCTTTTTTGTATATTGCGTTTTCAATAAAGATTGTCAGAAAAAATTATCACTTTTCACGTTTACAAAAAAGAGGTGAAATAGAGAAAAATGTAAAATATCTCAAGAAAAGCAAAAAACAATAACTGTACAACCGCCTTTTGGTTTATTTAGTTACGTAATGCACTGAAGAATGCTGAGTCCTGAGAGTGGATCTAGTTTCTGTCTTTCTATACTCAAAAGCAACGCGAGTGCTCGGCGCATGCGCAAATTCTAAAACGCGATTTGCACAAGGGGCCAGCATCAAGATGGCGGGAGCCTCCGACCCGCTGGAGGACATGCTCTTCAATGAAGTAGACGAGAAGGCAGTCAGCGACTTAGTTGGCTCTCTGGAATCGCAACTGGGGGAGGCCGAAGGCCCTGCC